AGAGCTATCAGTAGCTTAGGAGTAAGGTTAGCTTACCTAGGAACATATAAAAATGTTTGTTTCCTTATTTGGTGCACTTTTTTCATAATTCACACCTTTTTTTTTCTTAAAGCCATCCATGGAATGAATTTGGTCAAGTATTAGAAAACTCCTTACACCTTCCTTCCAATTTCCTGATTATTCAGTAAAACCTCAAAATCAAATAACTCTATGTGAGTATTTAAACATAGAAACAATGCTAGTGTTGTATTCTATATTAAACATAGAAAATACATCTTTTCTACAAGATAACATCTATTTAGACATATTTTTTCCTATGCATAAAACAATCTTTTAATAATCTTCAGGATAGGCATTCCAAAGCCACAGTAAGGAATTCTGCAGTGTGGAGTGTTTACAAGAACCCTAAAGGCAAAGCATCTCAACTGAAAACTGCACTAAATCCCAGAGGATGTGTTTTGAAAACAGTCGCCTGAACTAGTGCTGCTTCCAAATAACCTGGAATAGGAAGTAAGAAGCAATTACAATTTGTTGCCAGCCACTTGGAAGTGTGCTAGGTCTGCTTCAAAGTATTTGATGAGAAACTGAGAATGCCAGAGGGAAGAGTTCCCTGCACGCCAGCGGTGCCTCAGCTGATGCACTAGGTAACTGCCACTAGCTCTGCCAGGACAGACAGATGTAAAGTGAAGAAGCACAAAACAATTTAATAACTGAAACAAAAGCTCTTTAAGAACTTTCAGTAGTTGCAGTAGCTTTCTCCCCATCTGCAAAATTCTACATGGTACTAGATCACAAAATGTTGTTTTGCTACCAGAGCACATCTGTTTTACCCCTGCTTGAACAAGGCAGACAGGCTCTCAGGTCAGTGCTGAACTCAAGACCAGATTCACTTAGAGAAACTTTTCACTTAAGCTCTTCAAAACAGTGCAAGAGCTTAGGCCTTTTCTGACCTCATTTGTTTCTCCTTCCCTCGTATGTCTTAATTCCAAGTGTATTTATTTAAGGTTAGCCTAAGTTTGTTTCCAAATAAGCATTTACTTGCTAATTAAGAAAATAATTTATTTTTCTATGGCTTATCTTTCCTGGGAATCACTACATCAACAAAGCTGATGCCAGTAGGAAAGTGGATGTGCATGCAGGTCCACCTCCTGTGAGCAGTGCCCCGGGATGTACCAGTGCACAGAGGATGCTGGTGGGACTTCCACCACCTGTCAAGCAGGACACGTATCAGTGCACAGCTTGTCATCCTCTCTCATCTGAGCTCACACACATTAGCAGAGCCTGGTACACTACTGGCCAATAAATCACAGGACAAAGGGACATTATAACTTTTTCCAGGGCAGAACAAGATTAGGAGAATAAAAGAAAGAGGAAAATAAAGACACGAAAGTACATTAGTAAGGAATACAAAGATGCAAGTTTTGGTGACAGAAACTTCTAAAGGAAGGAATGACTCTGCCAGCCACTGCTGGGCTGGATGCAGGAACACCTGGGGCCAACCTGCCGTGTCCCCACCGCGGTGACACCCCAGGAACCCGCGGCCTGCACAGCGCCTGCCTCTGCCCCGTGAACCACCACAGACACCCGGGGCGTCACAGCACCCCTGCAGGAGGGAACATACACTTGTATGGGAAGAAAAAAAGGGGGCATCAAGACGTAAAATCTGAGAACGGCTTCAGTTGAGTTTGGAAAAAAGCTGTGCAGCGCCCAAACCCCAGCCAGCCCGCGCGGAGCCGGGGC